ATATAACATAACAAAGACTCACCCTTATGCTAAACCTGGTAACAGAATTAACATCATCCTGGATAAACAACATCTGTTGTAAATTTAATTTCATGGTAAGCATTTTTCCATATTGCTAATGGTGCTCCATAAATGTGATTATCAGTGACTGCATGATATTCTATTCTGTAGCTATCCATAATATATTTAGTTCCCAGATGTTAGATTTCTTTCCTTTCATCGCCTGTCATAAATGATGTTGCAATAAGCATCCTTGTGCATAAATCTGTATTCATGTTTTGGATTACCATGAGAGAAATTTCCAACAATAAAGTTTCCAGGAAAAAATAGAAAAGTTAAATGAAGGTTATTAATATTCATCAATAGCATAAATCTTACCTCCAGTTTTTGTTGGTGTAGACATCTTTGTTGAAAAATAAGCCTACACCTTCTGCAGTTAGATCCTTCTTCCTGTGTGTCCTGTTGCTCTTCATTTGTGTCTCCCTTTTTCAGAGCCCATCCAACGAACATCCGTTGAGCATCCCTCATGTACCTGCCCAGCACCAGCATGGGAGAATGGCAATGAATGAAAAGGAGTGGGCCCTGCCATAAAGGAGGGGTTGTCTCCTTGATGGCCATGGGTGCCTCACGTCGGAAACAGAAATAGTGGACACTTTTTCCATGCCCCAGAGGTGCTCCCTGTTTAGTTAGGGAAAATCAGATAAGCTGATTAAGAATGATAAGCTGGGTGATATCAAGGGGAAAGTTAGAAGCGTTGTGGGGACACAGAGGGGAGCAACTAAGAGCTTCAAGGCGAATGGTGCTCCATGGGGGGAAAACAGCACAAGGAGAAGCACAGAGGTGTAAAAGAGCTTTCTTACACCTTGTCCCCTAATGCCTTCCCTGACTCATCATTCCAACAATTCTCTCCCAGTTCCTCAAACTCAGATCTGTACTTTTATTCTTCCTTTTCTTCATCCTTAAATTCCTCTTCTTTCCTCCTGGTGAACTTCTTCTTCTTCTTTTTTTTTTTTTTATTCATGAGAATCAGAGAGAGAGAGAGAGAGAGAGAGGCAGAGGCAGAGGGAGAAGCAGGCTCCCCACTGAGCAGAGAGCCTGATGCAGGGCTTGATCCCAGGACCCTGGGATCATGACCTGAGCCGAAAGCAGACGCCTAACCATCTGAGCCACTTAGGCGCCTCTCCTGGTGAACTTCTATTCATCCTTCAAAGCCCAGCTCACACATCACTCCTTCTCCAATGTTCTTCTTGCATGCCTCCCATGATGGAGAACTTACTATCAAGGCAATTCATTGCATTGTTAGATAACATCTATTTTTAGAAAGTCCTTTTTTACCTTGAGGATAAAACTGTATTCTTTGGCAGTTCGAGGTGTTTATTCTTCAGTTAGACCTGTAGTTCTCAACTGAGGATCATTTTACCTCCCAGTGGATATCTGGCAATGTCTAGAGATATTTTCGGTTGTCAGAACTGGGAAGAGGGGGAGGATGCTACTGGCACCTAGCAAGCAGAGACCAGGGATGCTGCTAAACAGCCAACAAGGCACAGGACAGTCCTTCACAACAAAGAATTATCCAGTTCAAAATGTCAATAGAACGAAGGTTGAGAAATAGATGGACTCAGGTTTGAATCTTGACTTCACCAGTCTCTTCCTAGCTGTGTGACCCTGAGTTGGTTGCTTCACCTCTCTGAGCCTGAGTTGACCATTTCCTCATCTCTACCTTGGGGATCATCACAAGACCTCCCTATGGGCTTGTGGTAGGCATTTAATAACGGATATCTGAAAAGCCCAGGGCTTGGCTCCTTACTGCCATAGCTGTTCCAGTCAGTATTCCCAAGGATGTGGAAGAAACGTTGACTACCTTTGTTTACTTGCTGGCACTTGGGCCTGATTGGATTAGACTATTTGTAATCACTCTGGAAAAGGTCCTGCTGCAGCTAATGGTTTTGGAATGGAGCCATTGCCTTAATTCAAAAATGATGGCTTGCTTGTGCACTCGAACCTCTTCGAGAAAAGGAATTCATTTCTGCCTGTCACCCGGTCCTCATTACCTGGAATTAGCAGAGCTTTCCCACCCCACCGCCTCAAATGACCCTCCCAACAGCCCAGGGAGAGAGGTAATGATGTTTTCCCTACTTTACAGGTAAGGAAATTCAAGGCCTGGCTGTTTACCCAAGCTCCACACAGCCCAAGTGGCAGAGCTGGGGTGAGAACCCTCTTCTTCTATCACCTGTTCTCTAGGTACACAGTGCTATAAAAAATCTACAGGTGCCCGCTTTTCTTCTCCAACTGCCCCATCCAAAGTGCCTCCTCTAGCTTCCATCCTCTCTTCTCAGAGCACACCCATCACCCACACCATCTCTGTAGGCTTGGCCTCGATCCCAGAGAGAGCACCTCAGAACCTGCTGGGATCTGGGCAGCCGGAAGGGAGCATGGCCTCCTGTGTAGCATGAGGTGCAGTGAGGATCCCTGTCCCCACACAATTCCCACACTCAGTCTGACGTCCCTTTGGCATTTATAGAGGGAGAAACATTCAACGATCTGCTTTTCCAAAAGGCAGATCCCCGAGGGAGGGAAGAGCACCTTACATGAGTTACCTCACCAGGTGGGGCATGTTCGGGGATTGGATAAGAAGACCAGAGAGCAGGAACGGCATATGGGGCCTGTGACCCTGGCAGCCACACAGACCCTGTGCTCAGGAGGGCCCCTGTCTCGGTTTCCTGTTCTGCTGTTGCCATCTTGAAAGTTTTAATAATTGTTTAATTTTTAATTTTGCATGGGGCCCCGCAAATTACGTAGCCAGTCCCGAGCGGGATATGAGGTCACTGTGGACCTGGCTGCTCCTGCCGCTCTTTTGGGGGCCTGCCTTGTGGCGCCCACTCTTTGGGGTTCCCTCCGGCTTCCTCCTCTTTCCCTGAGGCCCCGACCACCCCCACCTCGCCCCGCCCCGCATTCCTCGGGAGAGGCAGCAGGTGGGGGTTGTGGTTGCCTGTCCAGGAATCCTTCCCAATTCCATGGCTTCAGAGGATAAAAGTGGATCCTCTTGCTTCTGAAGCAGCTCACTGAGCTGAAGGGAACCTTTCACCAGTAAATAGCTGTTGAATGAGTAAGTTCTGAACTGAGATGCTTCGTGGCATCTGCCTCTCACTCACTCATCCATTTAACGAATATGTATTGATCGTTTGCTTTTATGTTTATGCAAACTAACACGGCGGAGCTACAGAGGAGAACATGTGATAAGGAATTGAGCTTAACAGTGGTAGGTGAGGAGGATAAATGTATATATGCTACGTTAATTTCCCCCAACATCTTCCTATGAAAATTATTGATAAAATAGAAAAGTTGGAAGCATTGTACAGTGAACACCCATATATCTACCACCTGGGTTATAAATTAACATTTTGCTCTTCCTGCTTTATTATATGTCTGTTCCTTTATCCCTTCTTCTAACCAACTACCCACCCAACTTGTTTTTTGATTCATTTCAAAGTGAGCTGTAGACCTCAGTAGATTTCACCCCTAAACACTTACTATGGGACAGTAATTTTTAGTTCAATGATTTCAATTCAATCGTCACAACTTTTCTTTTTTAGTCAAAAAGGAAAAAAATCAGTGATTTTTATATTAAAAAATCATTTTTCACATTGTTGAATGACAAATAGTATATGCAGAGTGAAAAGAGATTCTCAATCCCCTTCTGTGTGCAATGAGGCAAAAGAGAAATGAGAAAATAGAACTTTCCTCAAGGCAACAAGGAGGAAAAGAGAAACGAGACACATCCGTAGCAGAGGGTGGTTGGAGCTACCTTGAGAAGAGCAGCCTGTGGGAATCTTTAGGGGAACTGCTTCCTGCTTTCTCCCACCCAAAATCAAAAATAAAACGGAGATGAACTTCCCTAGGCTCTTTCCTCCTTCCTGGGATGGCTGCGGACTATTCCAAGGGGTGTGAGCTTGGTCAGGGCTGAAGGTGAAGCTGTGAGGTGCTGGTTTGGGATGTGGAAGTGGAGAAAGAGACAGGCTGAAGCTGCTGTAGGTTTGGGGGCTATTATCCTCACAGAGCTGATGGCTGGGGCCGACAGGGGTGAGTAGGGAAGGCTCTCGGGCAGACAGTGGAGAGTGACAGAATCAGAGAGCAGGACTGGGTCATAAGAGGAGAAGGCGATGCTGTTCAGAGGAGGCATACTGGAAGAAGCCGGAGGGTTGCTCTGATGGGCAGTTCAGAGCTGGAGGAGAATATGAAAAAATACCCAAAGCAGGACTCTAAACAGGATACCTGGAAAAGCCTTTAGAGATCACCTGCGCCACCTTTCATTTCTGACCTGTGAGAAAACAGCCTGAGAGATCACTCAGAATATCAATGGCAGAGCTGGGGCAAAATCAGTGCTATCCACATGATGCTTTTCCAACAAAGTAACTCAAGGGTTCCTCCCACAAGGATCAAATGCCGTAGGGTCTTGCTTTTTATCTGAAAAAAAAATCATACAAATTTAGTTTTCTTCTTAAGAATTTATCTGGCTTTGTCTTATATGAAAGTAGTTCGTTTTTGCTAAATTTTTAAGAGAGATTTACACTCTGCTAGGGCTTCTCAGTTTTCTTCAAACTAGAGTGCCATATCCGGTGTAGACCAGTCAACCTTCCCAGAACACATGCAACATGGGACTTATACAAACTTTGCCTTGCTTTTGCCCAACTCCCTGACTAGAATGTAAACTTCATGAGGGCAGAGATTTTTGTTTTGTTCACTGCTATATTCCCAGTGCCCAGAACAATGCCAGGAATTCACTAAATAGTCATTGAATGGGTCAAGAAATGAATGACTAAGGAAGAAGGGGATATAGACTGTCGGTAACCAGCAGTATCTACTGCCCCGAACAACACACAACCCCAGTCAGATCACCTTGATGGTACCAAGTGACTCTACTGATCTCCAAGGCTCTGACCTTAATCCTTGTGTCTTTCTTCTCAGGGAGGGAGCCACAGCTGGAGGCTGCTCTTGTGCCAATGACCCTTCCCAATTCTTCGTGCACCTTCGAAGACGAGATGTGCGAGGGGAACAAGACCACCATAGCCAGCCCCCAACTCATGCCCCTGGTGGTGGTCCTGAGTGCCATCTCCTTGGTCACAGTGGGACTCAACCTGCTGGTCCTATATGCTGTGCGGAGTGAGCGGAAGCTACACACTGTGGGGAACCTGTACATTGTCAGCCTCTCTGTGGCAGACCTGATCGTGGGAGCTGTTGTCATGCCCATGAACATCCTCTACCTCCTCATGTCCAGGTGGTCCCTGGGCCAGCCTCTCTGCCTCTTTTGGCTTTCCATGGACTACGTGGCCAGCACAGCATCCATTTTCAGTGTCTTCATCTTGTGCATTGATCGCTATCGCTCTGTCCAACAGCCCCTCAGATACCTGAAGTATCGTACCAAGACCCGAGCATCAGCCACCATCTTGGGGGCCTGGTTTCTTTCCTTCCTGTGGATTATTCCTATTCTGGGATGGCATCACTTTATGTCACAGTCGTCGGGACACCGGGAAGACAAGTGTGAGACAGACTTCTATGATGTCACCTGGTTCAAGATCTTGACTGCCATCATCAACTTCTATCTGCCTACCTTGCTCATGCTCTGGTTCTACGCCAAGATCTACAAGGCTGTACGGGAACACTGTCAGCACCGAGAGCTCATCAATGGATCCCACCCTTCCTTTTTTGAAATTAAGCTGAAGCCAGAGAACCCCAAGGCAGGGGCCAAGAAACCAGGGAAGGAGTCTCCCTGGGAGGTTCTGAAAAGGAAGTCAAAAGATGCCAGTGGTGAGCCTGTCTTGAAGCCACCATCCCAAGTCCCAGGGGAGATGAAATCCCCAGGTGTCTTCAGCCAAGAGGAGGACAGAGAAGTGGACAAACTCCAGTGCTCTCCACTTAATATTGTGCAGGTGCAAACTGAGGCAGAGGGGAGTGGCAGGAGTTATGTAGTTTTCAACCAGAGCCAGAGCCCGCTTGGGATGGATGAACAGAGCCTGAACATGCATGGGGCCAATGAGATGTCAGAGGATCAGATCCTAGGTGATAGCCAGTCCTTCTCCCAGACAGACTCAGACACCCCCACAGAGTCAGCATCAGGGAAAGGTAAACCTAGAAGTGGGTCTAGCACAGGCCTGGATTACATCAAGTTCACTTGGAAGAGGCTCCGTTCACATTCAAGGCAGTATGTGTCTGGGCTGCACATGAACCGAGAACGGAAGGCTGCCAAACAATTGGGTTTTATTATGGCGGCCTTCATCCTTTGCTGGATTCCTTACTTCATCTTCTTCATGGTCATTGCCTTCTGCAAGAGCTGTTGCAATGAGCATGTGCACATGTTTACCATCTGGCTGGGCTATATCAACTCCACGCTGAACCCCCTCATTTACCCCTTGTGCAATGAAAACTTCAAGAAGACATTCAAGAAAATTCTGCACATTCGCTCCTAAGGGAGGCAACAAGAGGATGCAAACAAAGCAATGTTCCTGAAGAAAATGGAGGATGAAGGCCTGTGAGTTGCCAGGCACCTTGGCTTTCTGGAGTCAAAAGAATAGTCTTAAGGACTAGTAACTTGGAAAGTTCTTAGGCACCATTGGCAGAACAGCAGATGGCGGTGGTCAGCAGATAGATTGTGTACTCTGAGCAGAGAGCAGGATATTTCCAAGAGAATCAGATCTGGATGAGTTCTCCTGCTCCTCAGGAAGTGTGGGAGCCTCAGACTCTCATTGTAATTCAAGCTTGCAGACTGGAATTAATTGGAAACCGAAGGGACACGTGGGGAGAGTTTCACTGCTGAATTAGACAGAACTCTTAAGCCTTCCTGGAATGGAGTTATAGGACTGTGTAGAGACCTTACGTATGCAGATAGATGCTGTCTCCTTCCAGGGGTCACATTGATAGGCATGACAGCAATTTCATCGTAACTGTCATTTCTCAGAACACCTCTCCTCTGAGCCCCTTCTACAGCTTTCTCCAGAACCAGTGTCTGCACCACCTTGGAAATTCTGCCTTATTATTTCTCATTCACGCATATCTTAGAGTTAGTAGGAAATTATGCAGCTTGTACGTTCACTGTTTTCAACCCCCAATTCCTTTTGACTAGTAACAAAAAAATGATAAAAGATGCCCTCAAAAGAAAGAGGAAAAGGGTATTTTTTAATGGTTGCAAAATAAAAACAAACAAAAAAATGGGAATGGGGAGAAGAAAGCCATGTTTCTTGAAGGCTGGGTCATGTTTATCTCATTGAAGCTCTATGACACTCCACAGAAGGAGGATGGTGTTACTAGAGGAGCAAATTGAGGTGTGGCGAGGTGAAATAAGGTGCCCACATCACATAGTTGGAATGAAAACCCGGTGGGGTTCCAGCTCATTGTCACATGTTACCTCCAAAAGGCAAAAATTTGTCCCGTTAAGTATACAACACACACACACACACACTATTCCTGAAAGTGGTGGCAATTCTCAAAAGGATGTGTTGAGAGAAGGAATGGCTGACACAGAATATGCCCGAGGCTGCAGAGGGTGATACTTTGAAGGCACAGTGTGCATTTTTATCTGTGAGTTCTGCTGTGTTTGTTGAAGAAAAGTCATCATGTTCTTTTATAGTCACATTTTTTCAGTAAAAACTAGCAAAGGCATGGGAACATCCAGTTTTCCTTGGGTTTATATCGCAGTCTGGTTGTGATTTATATTTTAAAACTTAATGCCAAAGTGTCATATATGTAGAAAAATGAAGTGTGTGTACAAGCTGATATTTTGTCTCTTGTGTTCCTGTTCGCATGATCTGTTAAAATGACAGATTTTTACCTACCTAAAATATGATATTTGAAACTATACTGAGTTTGATTTATTTAATTCTACCTTTCTGAGTCTCTTCAACTGAGAAGATGTATTGAAATGTACTGTCAAATATTACGAGATCTGATATAGGGTTTCTCTTTGGTTTCTGGTCACATTTTAAATGTCTTTAGAAAAGAACTTACTTTTTGTAACAAGCTTCACTCTCTGCTTGGCATCCCCCCAAAGCTCTTCTTGCTCAAAACTGGGGGAGCAAAAGAGACCTTTATACTGGTTTTGAAAGCTGCAGCTGGTCTGTTCCCAGGTCAAAAAACATTTCCCAGGTGCCCCTTAGTTATTTTGATAAATGGTTGAGACAACTAGTGAAGACAAGTGTTTATGAGCTCTGACTTTGGGTTGAAGAGACCTGGATTTGAATCTGACAAGAACAAGAAATGGTCAATATAAACTGTCATAGCATAAAAAAATGAGGCCTATGCATTATTGAATACAGTGTTTATGGTGCGTGCAGAGTGTCTTGTACACAGTGGGGACTCATATGTAGTTTTAAAACATACTGAACATACTATGTGCCAGGCCCCATGCTTTGCCACCATTATCTACTTTACCTATACACCAATCTCATGAGGGAGATTTCTGTGTCTTTACAACTAGGCAAACTGAGGCACAGAGAGAAACTGAGGAATGGGAAGACAGACAGAAAAAGAGAAGTAGAAAGTGGGGGACATAAAGAGCATAAACCAAGTGGCATAATATTAATACACTCAAGAAAAATCTACATTCAAGAACATACTCTGTATTAATGTATTCAGAAGTTAAATATATTCAAAAGAATAATAAACCATCCTTAGCTTTTGATAAATAGAAATTCCTTCAAATGATTTGTGAAGACCACATGAAAACCAGTCAACTACTGCATCACATAAATCTTTAAAAGCTTGTGAAACTATTCCATCTAATAGAAATTGCTATAGATCTTAGAAGTTGGTAATGTTAATAAAGTGTTCATTCAGAAAATCTGTTAGTTTGCAGATTGGCCATTTGATGAATTGGCCATTTGGCTACTTAGCTTGCAGAAAATTGCTGGTGTCTCTTTTGAAAATGGGCCTTCCAGAGGTAGATTTAAATCCTAACACAGGATGAAAAGGATGCCGGGGCTTTTCTGGCTGGGATGCATTCTAAGTTCTGTAAAGAAATAATGCTGTTAAGATCTAATTTGCCAATATGTCCTTCCATAATTTCTTGGGCTTTCAAAGCCGAGGCTGTGCAGCATATAGTTACCATTGTGGGGAGCATGTGCTATCCTCAACTGAGCTGCAAGTCAAATGATGAAGGTGGATTGATCTGAATTGCTGTGGTCTTGAATAAGTGTCATGGGCCCCATTGCCTTGCTGTGTCTGAGAACATTCTCTGCCTTTTTAAGGGTCCTAGTCTTGCATCTTTCATGATGCTCCATTATCTTGGTGCCCCAAGGCGTGAGCATCAGTTCAAAAGCTTAGAGGAAAGCATCATCCTGTGTCTACCTCTGCTGCAATAAACTCTGAAGGGGGGTGGGGGCCAGATGTCACATGTGGTACAAACATGGCTGGAAGACCAACAGTTCCCAGAAAAGTGGAGTCATTGTGAGCTGGGCAGAAACTCCAAAAAGATGTTAATTATAAGGATCTTAAAGTTCAGCAGAGGAAACAAACTTATAAAGAACTAACTTCAACCCAGGCTCATATATGCCTAATAGAGGGAAGCCTAGAGGTGGATGGGTGTCATCCTACCGGGTATTTTAAAAACCAATTTTGTTACATTCAATATATACAGTAAAATGCACCCATTTAAAATGTAGAGATCAATGAGTTTTGACAGATGTATACACCCATGTTATCCCCATCTCAATCAAGATATAGAACATTTCCTTCAACCCAGAAAGTTCCTCATGCCCCCTCTTGCCCCAGGCAACCACTGATCTGACTTCTAATCACTATAAATCAGTTTTGCTGATTCTAGAACTTTGCATAAATGGAATTATATCATATATATTCTTTTTTTGTTTTGTCTATGATACCCACTTTTCAACTGGGTTTATCATCATCATCATCATTATTATTGAAGTATAGTTGATATTCAATGTTATATTAGTTTCGGGTGTACCATATAGTGATTTGACAGTTCTATGCATTACTCAAGGCTCACCATGGTAAGTGTAGTTACCATACAATGTGATTATAATATTATTGACTATATTCCCTGTGCTGTACTTTTCATCTCCATGACTTACTTCACAACTGGAATTTTGTACCTCTTAATCCCTTTCACCTATTTTGCCCACCTCGCCACCCCCCTCCCTTCTGGCAACCACCAGTTTGTCTCTGTATTTATGAGTCTCTTTCTGTTTTGTTTATTTGTTTTTTTTTTAGAATCCATATATAAGTGAAATAATATAGTATTTGTCTTTCTCTGACTTATTTTACTTAGCATAATAGGTCTCTCCTAGGTCTTTCCATGTTGTTGCAAATAGTAAGATTTCATTCTTTTTTTTACAGCTGAGTAATCTTCCATTGTATCTTCTTTATCCTTTCATCTATGGGGTGGACACTTGGGCTGCTTTTATATCTTGACTATTATAAATAATGCTGCAATAAACATAGGGGAGGGTGTATCTTTTCAAATTAGTGTTTTTGTTTCCTTTGGGTAAATACCCAATAGTGGAATTACTGGATCACATGGTATTTCTATTTTTAATTTTTTGAGGAACCGCCCTACTGTTTTCCACAGTAGTTGCACCAATTTATATTCCCACCAACAGTGCACAAGTGTTCCCTTTTTTCCACGTCTTCACCAGCACTAGTTATTTCTTGCTTTTTTTTTTTTATACTAGCTATTCTGATTGGTGTGAGAGAATATTTCACTGTGGTTTTGATTTGCATCTCCCTCATGATTAGTTGATGTTGAGCATCTTTTCATGCATCTGTTGGCCTTCTACATGTCTTTGGAGAAATGTTTATTCAGGTACTGTACCCATTTTTAATTGGATGATGTGTGTGTATGTGTGTGTGTGTGTGTTGAATTGTGTAAGTTCTTTATATGTTTTGGACATTAACCCCTTATCAGATACATGATTTGCAAATATCTTCTCCCATTCAGTAGGTTGCCTTTTTCTTTTGTTGGTGGTTTACTTTGCTGGGAAAAAGCTTTTTATTTTGGCGTAGTAGTCCTAATGTTTATTTTTGCTTTTGTTTCTCTTGCCTGAGGAGACATTTCCATATATTGCTAAGGCTGATGTCCAAGAGATTACTGCCTATGTTTTCTTTTAGGAGTTTTATGATTTCAGGTCTTACATTTATGTTTTTAATCCATTTTGCATTTGTTTTCGTGCTTGGTGTAATAAAGTGCTCCAATTTCATTCTTTTGCATGTGGCTGTCCAGTTTTCCCAGCACCATTTATTGAAGAGACTGTATTATCCCCATTGTATATTCTTGCCTCCTTTGTCATAGATTAATTGACCATATAAGAATGAGCTCATTTCTGGGCTCTCGATCCTGTTCCATTGATCTACGTATTTTTTGTGTGTGTGCCAGTCCCATACTGTTTTTATGACTACAGCTTTGTAGTACATCTAGAAGTCTGAGATTATGATACTTCCAGCTTTGCTCTTCTTTTTCAAGATCTTTTTTTGCTATTTGGGGTCTTCTGTGGTTCCATACAAATTTTAGGAATATTTGTTCTAGTTCT